AAAAAAAGTACCTGGGAATACAAAAATAAAAATAATGAAAAAAAGAAAAACGTCTTCAACTATATTTATATATATATATATATATATATACACGTGATAGACAACAAGGCATCTTCCTTTTTAAAGACTAGGGAGTAGGGGAACACATTCGAGGTAACGAGGGTGTAGTTTCCCGCCCCAAGTTCATACTATCAATAGAAAGATATGCAGATTCATTGAAATCTCCCACTAAACCATCCATTATCTCACCCCCAACAGAAGGCATTGCAATACGTGAAGTTGCCATTACAGGTATGAGTGTAAAACCATGTCGTCTATGAGGTTGTGTATCCGCTTCCCAATTCATAGGAATTGTATAATCAAAGTCACTATCATCATCTCGTGCACTACCATTCATTTCTTGTTGGATGTAAAAATCTCCAAATAAATCATTTTCTCCTTCAATCACAAGAGGAGCTGTATTCTTACTATATACACGTTGAGCTAATTTAATCTGCTCCTCCTCTTCTGTAAAAGCAGCTGTATAGGAAGAACGATCATCCGAGTCGGAATCACTGGATACTAATACTTTTCCCGCCGCTGGTGTTGTTCCTTCGGATTTTCCCTTTTCATCATCATTATCATTATCATTATCATCATTCATAGCGAGACGCAAAGGTGGTGGCATTTGCCGTTCTTCACATGCCTTCCAATCAAATCCACGAAAAAACGCATGTTGTTTTAATGCCTGTAAAGATGCAATTCGCCGTTGTGGATCTTTATGAATAAGCCGCTGGAGAATATCTTTTGCCTCTTCTGAGAGTAAAGGCTCTTCCGGGAATTGTAAGGGTTGAGATACAATGGCCTGCACTGTTTCCCGGTGAGTGGGGCGGAGAAAAGGGAAAAAACCCGTAAGAAGTGTAAATAAAACAACACCCAAACTCCACCAATCCACTTCAAATCCATATCCACGAGTTTTCACATCATACAACATCTCTGGGGCAATATAGGCAAGCGTGCCACAACACATATGTTGACGTATGGGTTGACCAGTTTCATCTAATATATGTTTGGCAAATCCAAAGTCTGTGAGGATAACATGACCATCTTCATCTAATACTAAATTATCTCCTTTAATATCACGATGGACAATTCCATGTTGTTGAAGATGATCCACCGCAATGGCAAGTTCAGCAATAAAGAAACGTCCAACATTTTCATCAAAGCGATGATTAGGGGATTGACATGTATGTTGTAATAACTCCCCACCAGGTAAATAATCCAAAAGAAAATACACACGTGAGGCGGTTTGAAAAGTAGCGTGAATACGTGTAATGTATGGAGAGTTTAATCCATCTAAAATACTCCGCTCACGCCGCACCTCCACAACATTCCGTAAAGAAGTAAAGGAAGTTTTGCGTAATACCTTCAATGCATATAATCCACCTGTAAAGCTGTGCCGTACCAGTAAGACTCGACCAAAGGTACCAGTGCCAAGTACACGTACAGTTGTAAAGGCGGAAAGACCAAAACTTAATGCTAAACGTCCACGTAGAAATGCAGGAAAACATACGGGTAATAATTTTGTATCTTTACACTGCTTTGTTGTTGATGTTGTTCTTCTTGTTGTTGTTGTTGTTGATGATAATAATAATAATGATGATGATGGTGGTGCTTTAGGAAACATTCCCATTGTATGGGCAACATCCAGACGATGTGCCCAAACACTACGAAGAATATCTAACTGAAAAATGAAATGATGTACCCAACCACCTACTAAGAGACGCAGTACATAAACGCCAAACCGCATTTCACCCTTAATCTTCTTCATAATGGAAGAATCCCATTCAGTATTCACATGAGATATATGATTATCAACTATAAGTATATTATTGATCGTCCTAACTGTATCAATAGTAATATTCGTGTTCTCTTCAGAAATTAGCTCAACATGAAATGTTTCCCCAGAAGGAGGGATTTTTAAAGTCTCCAAAAATGGAACTTTTGTGTTGTCTAATACAGTAGTACTAGGTAAAGAAAGTGGAAGAATAGCGATTGGATTGATATTGTCTAAAGGACTATATAGGTATATATACTGTCTTCTAAGGGAGAAGAAACGAGTACGTAATGGGCATAAGACTTCTGAGCTTTTCTCCATCGCAAGGTGAGCAGCTTCCTTTAATGAATTTACCCTATTCCAGAGTTTTGAGCTTATTGCAAAGTGCATAATAGAACAGTTTTGCTCCCCAAGTAATTGAAAGAGATGTGATTCACAGCAACGTGGACTTACTTCACTAAAGAAATGTGGACTATCAATGGAGGAAAACTCCGTTTGCCAAGGTATTAAATTCTCCTTGGTAACACCGTTACTTTTATTATTATTATTATTATTATTACTACTACTGTTATTATTACTTCCACTTTCACCATTATTATTTGGAACATTTTTATGTAACCGTTTTGAAGCCTTTCCCCGCTCTGATTTACGCTTTGGCAAATGTTCTTCTATTGCAGTTTTAATAGTCTTATTCTTGTTGTTGTTGTTGCTGCCAATGTTGATACCATTATGATCATGATGATTATTATTACTATTATTATCCTCAACAAGAATACTTTGAGGGGTCTTTTCTCGCAGAATTAAACGTATTCCCTGTAGAATAGGTACAATCATACTACGAAAGAGTGGACGTAACACAGAAGAAACAGAAGCCCCCTTTGAAGAATGAAAGTTATCCCCAAAAGAAATGAGTCGATCACCCAATACCTGTTGGGCTATTTCAAAAGGTAATATCATGAGTTGTACCAAATCCTCATCTTCCAAGTCAAAGTGTGCGGCTAAGGAGCAAATTTGTTCCAAAACAGTTTTTGTGGAAAATCTCTGCAAATTATGCATTCCTTCCTCTATTCCTGCGGAGATATCCACTTTGTTGGCATCGGGTTCCGTTCCTGTGGTGTGGGAAACAGAAACTCCAGGCGTGAAGGTTGTCGTCGTCGTTGTTGTTGTATCTGGAATAGAGAAAAGAACAGAAGGAAGCGTAGCATTAGCCATATCATTAACACCATCATGGGAATCATCAATTGTAAAGTCAGTTACACGCACATCATCTGTTGTGTCTACTATGTGTTGCTGATTCCGTTCTTGTTGTTGTTTATATTGTTGTTGTTTATATTGTTGTTGTTGATGATGATGTTGCCGTATAGAATCATCCAAAATGATCTTTTCATCCAATATTCTTAATGGGAGTTTTTCCTTAAAAGTTAAAGCATTTATACTGGATACTGTGGTACTTAAAGAAACCACCTTTTCCGTGATATTATTACTACTACCTGCAGAACATTGACGTTGTTGAGGTGTTTCTCCACTGGCAACATACACAATATAGTGGAATAACATCCTTACACCACTCCATCCTAACTGCAAAGCGGCTATTTGTAATGCCGGAGATCGTGAAGATGTTAATGTTAATGATGATAGTGAATTGCACTCTGTACTTTCACCACTTTCACTACTGCTACTGCTGCTGTCAACTTTCTTCTTTGACATTCTCTTCAGATTAGAGGAATATTTTACTACTGTAGGATCAGAGACCTCTTTTTCATTCTCAACGGATAAAAGCAGTTTCGCATATTTTCGAAGGATAACATCACTGTGTTGATCAAATTTAATCCAATCAATATGCGGAAGTTGTCGTATGATGTTACCTTCTCTACTTCCACCCTTCTCATCACTGTTACCATTGATAAAGCCTGTGGAACTTAATGTGGGGTAGCAAACAGAGACAGGTGAAACCATTTTTCTTCTCACCACACTGCCCTCTCTTTAACTATTATTATTATTATTATTATTATTATTATTATTATTATTATTATTTATTATTATTATTATTATTATTATTATTTTTCTTTTCCCCCTTTTTACCCCACTCAATTAAGAACCACAAAACTTTTACTTACCTCCCGTCAATGTTTTTTTTTTTTTTCTTTCCTTGTCCCCTTTTGTTTTTTCCTTATTATTAGTTGGACAACTGTACATAAACAAGAGAACGAAGAAAAAAAAAGAAAAAGTTCAAATGATGATGATAGAGAAAAATCAAATAAATTTGTACAAATATAAAGTATTCAGAGGTTTTGTTTTTTTCGTTTTTTTTTCTGTTTTTGCTCATTTTCACGAGTATGAGAAATTCTCAACAAATGTGTGTTTACTCTTCCCCACACCACCACAACTGTCCATTATATTTCCGCACAGAAGGAGCAAAGCGCTGTAATGAAAAAAAAAAAAAGAAATGTGAACGCAAAAGGCGAAACCAACCAACCAACCAACCAAATCAAACAGGTAGAGAAAGAGAAAAAATTAAGAAAAAAAAAAGGAAAGCAAATGGAGGTCAAAATAGGATTTAAAAAGATAGGGGAATTGTTGCTTCTCTTACTGCTACTGGTTCCCTTATCTCTATAATCTTACAATTCCCCTTAACTACTTCCCTCTTGTGACGATACCGCATGATTACTACTACTATTGCTGTTGTCATCCGATTCCTGACGCTTCTTCTTTGGTCGAGCCACTTTTCTCGGAGCTCCAGGCGCTTGGATCACTTGTTGTTGTTGTTGTTGTTGTTGTTGCTCTTCTTCATCTGTGCGATAGGATGATGCCGCACCTAATGTAGCCTTAAGCCCACCTGTTCTTTGCACTTTAGTGTCCACAGGTGGACGTAATCTAAACCGTCCTGTTCGTCGTGGCCGCGGTGTTCCTCTATTATACTGCAGAGCACGTGCTTCTTCCTCTGTCATGGATTGCAGTGCTGCTGGGCCGAGAAGTGAGCGGAGATGGAGATCCTTTTCCTCCGCATCAAAGAGAGTATTTTTATCACTTGTGGATGTGGAGTATTCCTGTGTGAGACTCTGAGAAGCAGAGAGACTAACAACTTCAAAGGCCGCCTCTGCAGGGGCCTCCTTACGCGTAGAACTCTTTCTTTCCCCACTTAATGTACTCTGTGATGATGATGATGATGATTTAATATGTTCCTCTCCTTGTTGTTGTTTTTGTTTGTATTCTTTTTCCATCGTCATTGTCGGTACTCCTTCTGTAATATCATCTTCGCGATTGGGTGGCATGGGAGGTCGGCGTGGATATGTGTTCTTACGAGAAGGAAACGTTGTGCGAATCTCACTTTCATACTCCTCTGGTGGAGGAGGTAAAGAGTCTACACGACGTCGAGTTACTCCTCCTGCTGCTGCTGTATTATTCTCATCACGTAATTCTTCCTGTTCTTGTTTTTCTTTTACACCCGTTGTTGTTGTGATATCGGGGAGAACAATACGTGCAGTGGGTGCGAAACGATCTTTTACAACATCCTCCACGTTAAGTGTAAAGTGTTGTAACCAATCTGGGTCTGTTAGAACACATGGAAGGTTATCATTATTATCATTATCTGTACTGCTATCACTTTTCTTTTCACCTTTTTGACGTTTATGCCAAGCCACAAAGCGATCATATGTAGTGAGAACCTCATCACGTGAGACTCCAGCCCCATCACAGGCCTCTGTGAAATAGAAAACTGGTCGATACGATGGATCTAGTTTAACATCAAGATTCTTTTCCCACATCTCAATAGCACGATGAACATCATCTCCTACAAGTTCCTCTTCCTGTAATGTATGTTCATGATTCCGATGCCCCTTTCCATACAATGGAGAGGAGGAAGAAGTCTCTGTATTTGCAGAAGTGTTAGCAGAACGTTTAGTAACAAGATCATCCAAGAGATGTGCAGCAGCGGGAAAAGTATCCTGTTCACGTGCTTCTTCAATCTTCGCAGCACGTCGTATTTGTTGAAGAATATCAAGCTCTAATGCGGCCTGTGCCTCCCGCTGCTCTTCCACACTATAGGGAATCTCCACAAAGGCGTGTACAGGACGACGAAAAGAGCGTTCATGTGATGGTCGTCCTTCTGCAGGTCGCCACCAAACATTAAGTTCACTTGTGCTTGTCACATCTGTTGGTTTAAGAAATCCATTCTTTTCATAATCCCAACGACTGGCAAGTGTAGGATGCGTCTCTGCAAGCGATGGTGTAGATGCATCTTCTTTTATTATTTTTCCCATACTTTCAGTTGTAGTATCATTTCCCACTGTTTGTTGTTGTTGCTGAATGGAAGAGCAGTGTGGACAACCCTTATCAACAACCGCACGATCTCTCACGGTTGCTTGATAGTTTTCCCCACAGGCCGCACATCGCCACCAGACGGTGATGGAACTGCTAGAAGGGACTGAACTTACATCCACATCATTTAGTTCAGGCACCCATTCATCTATTAAATCCGGCCGTACAACAGCAAGTCGACTAAGATGGGATTCTCGTCTTCGTACGTTACTTTTTATATTATTAGTATTATTAGTTTTACTCTCTTCGCTTTTTTCATTGGTGTCATAGTTATTTTCATCACTGAAGGCCACTGGATGTGTGGATGAATTCCGTACAGTGTTTCCAGCAAGGATTGCTGATAAATACACTTGCTGATGATATTGCTGTTGATAACGGCCAGTGAAAGACCACCACGCGCCGATGCCTTGAGCTGTGAACTCCCTTACAATACCACTGCGGTACCGTAACATAATAGATTTTCTTTTCTTCTTTCTTTTCTTTTTTGTTTTAAATGTATATATGTATATTTTGAGATGCTGATGTGATTCCAAAACTTCTACCAGACGATGTTTTTTATTCTTTTATTCTTTTTTTTTTTTTTTTTGGTAAACTCTGTTCTTTTCAGATTGTTTTTTTTTTTATTTTTCCTTCCCCCGTTTTCCACAGAGCTTGGGTAAGCTTACCACCTTGTGTGCTACTCACACCTACTTCTTCTCTGTATTCCTCTCTTTTTTCTTTCTTTAGTTAACGTTGTGGGTGCGGTAATAAAAAATTAAGAGTGCAGAAGAAAAAAAATGAAAATAAATAAAAAAAAAGAGAACTTAATCACTAGTTATTACTTTATACATAAAGACAAGATCATCCTATACAGTATACCTTTTTTTTTTGTTTTTTCACATGTGAACTAATACAAAAAAAATTCTTTTTTTCTTCTTTTTTTCTTTTTTTTTAGTATCGTCGGCGCAAAGTTTTCTTTGTGCCTGTAGAAGCTATACGCGCTCCTTTACTGTTACCCGTCATTACAAGTTGATTTGCCTTTTCATGTTTCGGTCTCATCTTCTGCGGTTGTTTACCGTGACGATTTCTCCGTAATGTTTGTGTCTCTTTAATCATACCAACATCCGTAAGAAACACCTCCTCTTGGGCGGCAAAAAAGTCAAATGGTTGACCCTCCACTGGAGGCAATGCGGTGATGCCTGTTAATGTATTCTCACCATCTGCTGCTGCTGTGAGACGCTCGGAGCGAAGACGCTTTGCCTGCGGCCCCAAACCTTTATTATTATTATTATTCTGTGGAGCTGGATAACTGCGGGTGAGGTGAAAGAAACCACCATTGGCCTCCATGGATTGATCCATTTCCGCATCCTCCGCCTCTGTTTCCTCACGACCACGCACACGGCCAGCCATACGTACGGTTGATATTCCTGCTGTTCGTGTGGGCTTTTCACCTGCGGCCGCATTTCTTCCTTTTGAGGATTGACGGTAATCCACATGTACATCAGAGACCCACAATTTCACTGGCGGTTGGGGTGTAAGTGTGCGTGAATGCACGACTGCTGTCGCACACGCCTCTCGCAGTTCATTTAAACCAGTCGTGATATGGCCTATAGATTGATAAATGCCTAACTCCTCTCGTTGTGCAGGTTCTTTTATATCTTGAAGAAGAATATAGTAACGACTCGCATTAGAATTTGGCATTCCAACATTTCCAATAAGAACTGTACCGGCACGAAGTTGTTGTTCTTTTTCTTGTTGTTTCTGTGATTCATCCTTCAATGGTTCATCTTCAATAAATCCACCAAAGATAGTCTTTGTTGTACTGCTTCCAATCTCTACCATTATATCCTTTTCAATACGCACAACAGAGCTCTCGGCAAATGGTTTTAGCCCAGAATTGCTTAGTGCCTCCACTGACAATGTCGTCATTCGTGTTGATGGAACACCGAGGGCAGACAAGACATCACTCGACGGCACTTCGCTTGTACACATGAAGAGAAAGTTTGCTGTTGCCATCGGCCGCTGTTCCAGCATTGGTACAAGCATACGCACCGCCACATCACGTTGTTGCCGTTGTCGTTGACTGGGGAACCGGAAGTTAAGTGTTGTTTGCATTTCAGTTATTCCTTTTTTTTTTTTTTGGAGTTTGTGTTAATATATTCTTGCCCACAGCTCCACTCGATGGTGTATTTCAATCCACTCGTCTTTATTCAAAGAAAGATAGTCAACAAATAAATAAAATAAATAAATAATTAAATAAATAAAAAGAAGAAATAAAACAAAGAATAATAAAAAAAAACTATATATAATGGGTCTGGTTTCCCTCATGTTCAATTTAATATATATATATATATATATCCATACATTGTATGATGTATTTCATTGTAGCATAAGCTGCAGCCTGTGATAGAAAAATTGCAAAATCTCAGACAATAAATTATACTTTCATTTGCTCTTGTTCACTCTCTCGTCCACCAACTACCTCCATTCAACCCCATCTCTCTCTATCATTACAAAGAGAGATGGGGGGAGAGAGAGAGAGAGAGGGAGAGAATATCCAATCAAACACAGATTCACAGATCTGTTGAAAAGGATCATCACAGGGGCGGACTTCACAAATTCTATCACTGAGAATCTTTTACCTTTTCTTCTTTTTCTTCTCTTTCTTCTTCTTCTTCCAGTCGTGGTACCCTCTCGGGAGGATCATCACAAGTAACATCATCTTCCTCACGTTTTCTTTTATTACTACTCTTCAATTCCTGTTCCTCTTTCTCTTGTGGTAAGGTGTCAAGGGGAATGATAGTATTCTTGTGAGTGTCCTTATCAACATCATCGTGATCATTTTGTTGCTGTTGACATTCCTCATTATACATTCCACCTTCATTACCACTACGATCTTCACTCAAACGAAAGCTATGTGTACTACCATCATCATCATCATCATCCATTGGCGCCTCTTCTTCATCCTCTTCATCTTCATCTTCTTCAGCTACATCATTATCCTCACTTTCACCACGTTCTTCATCTTCTTCAACATCATCATCCTCTTCTTCTTCAACTACTGCGGTTTCATGGAATTCTTCTGCAGCTCTGTCATCATTATCATTTTCGCTTTCATTAACGGCTGCTCCTTCCACTTCCACACCATCGGTAAGAAGCTTCTCCGATTGCATCTCCCTCTTAGCAGCTGCAATATCCAAAGCTAAAAGAGCCCGTATATAAGCTTCCCGCGTTTTCCACAACTTTCTCCACGCCTCCATTCGCTTCTCCACTTCACTTTTCTGATTCTTCTGTTGTTGCCATTTCAGTATGGGATTCACTCCCATAGATGGAAGTGTTGCCACTAACATAGTCTTCTTTTGTTCTCTATTATCATACAATGTTTTTAAAACAGCTGTGGCTGAGGCATAACAGGATGAACTGCGTACTGCATGTGGAGTCACCGCAGTAATGAGCCATTCCGTTGCACACAAGGTTTCAGGAAAAGCGGGTGTATTTCGTGTGAGACGTTCTAATACAAGAAAAACATTTCGGTGTAGAAATGGAATATCTTTCTGATGTAATAGAAGTTGTACAATAGCTCTGCAAAGACAAGCCTCAAGTTGTACGGAATAGACGGGTACAAGAGCGAATTCATCTTCTTCTTTTCCTTTCATGTTATTACCCACATTATCACTAGTTGCTTCTTTTTCTTTTTCTTCTTCCTCTTCTTCTGGTGTTGCATGTGAGGCTAAAATATTCATTAAAGGTCGTGGTTTTGGCTCTAAAAATGACATTAATACTTCTGTAGAAAAATTTGCCGATGAGGCGGCTATTGAACCACTATGTGTAGATGCATCTGTTGCCCCACCACTTCCTGTTGTTGTTGTTATTGTTGTGGCTGTTGTTGCTGCCGCATCTTTTTCGCCAGAGGAGAGTATTGGTATACTTAACACCTTATCATGTAATGCCGTGAGGAGTAAACTCAAAAGAAAACCCAAACGTTTACATTCCCCATCTGTGAGACCCACAAAGAATGTCATGGCGGCTGTCACTAATGAAAATATCACATCCATAACATATTTATGATTGTCTGTGGTACCATTATTTGTTTTCTTTGTAGCATCAAGTAACCACTTGAGGAAGTAGTAAACAAAGAAAGTGTCTTCTAGACTTAATAGAGCCCGTGGGAGAAGATATGAGGTTGCAAAGGCAACAGGTTCATTCAGTACACCACTGTTAAGTACATCATTTAATAATACAGACCTCGCCTCTTCACACTGCTGGTAAAGTTTTCTATGAGCCTCCTTCTCAAGACGCACTTGTCGTGTCTGTTCCTGCAGCCAGCGAACAGATGGATCTCTAGACATAATGGTACTGCTGTTATTATTATTATTATTATTATTATTATTAGAAGCAGCTGCAGCTTTTAAGAGGGCGGTAGCGTGATTAAAGAAGTAATTAATTTCCCTCATAGCTACCGTATATGGAGTATCATCAAATACAAAGTGTGCGGCGGTGTAATGCGATAGTTTTTGTAGAAACGCAAAGGGAATAGCCCCATCAATAGCTTTAAAACCTGGTAAACTCTTCACATAAGCATCTACATCGGATGGCATTACAGTAAATATAGCATCAATAGTTGAAGCCTTCTGTTCATCAGACAATGTACGTTTAACTTCCTTCGCAGCAAAACGGGCTGTAAGACGAAGAGCGACATGTGGCATCGCCACCATAAAAATTTCATTCGCCGGTGGCCCTTGCGGCAGTAGTGTTTCCAACGTTAGTAATAAGTCATTAATAACATTGTAGTCTCTTGCACATGTTAACAAGACGAGTTGCATCGTTCCTGCGAGATCCGCCTGGGCAGTGTAGATCCTGCTGTGCAACCGACACAAATGCAACAACAGGGCTTGACCAAGTGTAAACTCCACCACCCCACTATTCTCTTCTACATGATTATTCATTTCCTTTTCTTCTTCCCTATTATTATTATTATTATTATTATTATTATTATTATTATTATTATTATTATTATTCGCTTCTTCTTCTTCCTCCTCCTCCTCTACTTCCCATTCATCTCTTTGGATAGGAATAACACAGTTTTCCTGCAGTGTGCGCCGCAGCATAGCAGCCGCAGCGGCCCGCACAGCCGGAGTGAAGGTGGAACTCCACCGCCCACGGCGAAAAGACTCCCCGGCGCCCTTTGCAAACCACTGTGTAGATGCCGGGGAAACCAAGGCCCGCACCTGCGCTCCACTATACTGTTCCTCATGCTCAGGGGTGTGATCAAGCAAACCACGCAGAACCGCTTGCAACAACTCAAGGCCAAATACAATAGACGCACGTGCCTCTCGCCGCAATGCATACTCCGCAGCTCTTAATAATAACGCACCATCAAAACTACGTGGATTATCACGCCAAAGAACAGCAAGAAATGTTGCAATGTGTCCAACACGACTGGCATCTGTGTCTCCTAGTCTCTCTTGTTCAGCATAATGCCTCATTAAGAGTAAACCTTCATGAGTAATAAGTGTAAGCACAGCTGCAGGGGCACCTTTAAGTAATCGAGTATGAATACGTAGAAAATTATTATTGTATCCAACCGCTTGCTGAAAAAGTTTCTCCCCCACCAGTAGGGGATTAGCGTAGATCATTGGTTGTAAGAGACTTCTGTAGCGATCTACATTAGCCTCTGTCATACGTTTTAATGATTGCGTAAAAAGTGCTGCAAGTTCTTTAGAACGGAGTATATCATGTGGAGCTCGATGAAACGGTAGAGAAAGAGAATTATTATTATTATTATTATTACCATTAGATGATGAAGAAGGATGTGGTGATTGCAAGAGAAACTTTAACCATATATCTGTATGTAGGAACTCAACGGGATTTGTACCAAAACGCACAGATGGCGCTTCTTCTTTCATGAGTGTTAGAAGCAGTAAAACACGATCGTAGAGAGCAGGCGAAGGAGAAATAACACGTATACATGGCATCACTACATTAATAAGATAACGTTCTGCTAAACCAAGTGCATTCCTGCACAATAAAGCATAATCTATAGTATTACTTTTGTTTACCCCATCATTACCATTTTCTTTTTCTTCATTTTCATTCCCATTAGCTTCTTGTTCTTGTAGTTGCTGCTGTTGTTTTAACTCAGACCTTACAGAACGCAGGAGTTTACCACATTCCTTTGTTAACCCTTCCACCAAGTTACAAAGAAAAGTCTGTGATGCCAAATAAGCATTAACAGCTGAAAGTAATGGATAGTATGTTTCCAGTTCCCGAAGAGGAGCTGAAAGTTCACCTCTTTTTTCTCCTTCTCCCCCATTCCCTGTTCCCGATCGTTCTTCTATTTCATTTAAAATAACTTCCACACGCTTCACAACATTACTAGCAATACTACCACCACCACCGGGCATCACTAAAGAAGGAACAAGACAGACATTCACTCCCATTTCTGTTTGAAACTGTATAATCGTAGTTGCAGCGATACCAGGGAGTCCCATGTTTAAGAGTTCCATTACAAACCGACACGGGGTCACATGTTGTAGGGATGCGGTTTGCTTGCTATTTGCACCTACCGTACCAACAGATGGTTTACTAGTAGAAGTACTAGCAGCGGTATTATTATTAGTATTGTGAGTAGTAGTAGTAGTAGTAGTAGTAGTAGTAGTAGAAGAAGTAGAAGGAGTTGCTTGTTGCTTATCATCTAAAAGATATTGGCTCCACGTTGGACAGGCAACGGGAAATACCATTTTAGCAAAACGTGGTCCGGTCATTTCTCCATTCACTGGAATAGGTTCATCATCTTCATTAGTGTTATTGATAATACTATTATTATTGTTATTGGTATTATTATTATTATTAGCAATAGCGGTACGTGAATTGTACCGCTGTTGTCGCCGTCGTACGTTTCCTGCTTCAACTGCGGTAAAAATAAGTTCACTACGTGCCTCTTTCACATAGTGATCCAGTGCCGCCGTAAGTGAGGCAAGTGCAGCACCGGGAAGTGTTGATGATGGTTCTGCTGCCTCCTGCATACCGGATGGACATGCAACAGCAAAATGATAAATAACAAATGCTGTGCGTAAATTACATACTTCTGTTAAATATAAACAAAGAGCTAATCTCTGTCTTCCATCGGCGTGATGGGTTGGGGAGAGACCAATACGAAGTTGCATACAAAATGTAAAGAGATGTACAGCGAGAAAAGGTTTAATGTGTAGACGTTCCAGTAATCGACCAATAGGCGGAAAATGTATATACCGCCATAATTTCTCTGTTTGTGTAGAGAAGGTGGCACGAGGTGGGTGTGACCACCGGGAGGTTTCCCCACGTTTTGGTAAAATATAACTAGCACTCAACACTGCTCCAATCACCGTCACTAATAGGAATGTATGTACTTGACCTTCCCCAAGTACAAATCCAAGTTGTTCACTATATTCTTTTAGAAGTTTTTCTTCTTTTTCTTTTTCTTTTTCTTCTGCCGCTGCTGCCTTCTCTTGTAGGGTAAAGGATGATGATATAATGTGTTTCTCGCGTTGATGCCCTAGTTCCTCCCACTTTGACATGAATGTATGTAAGATAAACAATAATTGATATGTTGTGCCTGGAGCTTGGGCGACAATATGTGGACAGAAGGATTTACAAAGAATAGCTGTTCGGCGAAATCGAGTTCGGGCTATCGTAGCATTAAATGTCTCCTGCGATATTGTTCCCCAAGCAGCCATAGCAACTTGCTCATTCTTACTGCTATTCTCATTATTATTATTATTATTATTATTATTATTATTATTATTATTATTATTAACTTCATTTCCTTCTCTTGTAGAATCCTTTCCGGTATTGAACGCCTGAGACTGTACCGAACACTCACGAAAGAACTGCAACCATGCACTAAAGTCACCCCCTCGTGCTGACAATTGCTGCAAAAACACACAAAGAAAACAGAACCAAAAAGGATATTGTTCTGCTATCATCTTCTCTTTATCACTCTTCTCACTATTCACAGACACAACATTCCCGGTATCTTTATCCTTATCCTTACCATTACTATCACTATCCACAATAGAGATGAGACGTAAATCTTGAGAAAATATTCCACTCGAGAGGGCTATCGCTGCCGCCTTCACACCTTCTGGTAAATGAGATCCACTACTCTCATGAGATGTAAGGACAGTATAACAGTGTAGTAGAGTCACTATACGCATCATAAAATTTTCCAATGGTGTAGGTGTTGCGTCTAAAAGAAAAGAATCTACAGCCGCACGTATACATTTCTGTTTTTCTGAAGGACTCATCTCATCTTTAATCCCAATCACTGTGCAGAGTTCTGAGATAAATGTCTGTGTCACATTTTGCTTGGCCGTGGAACATGTACTTAACTCCGCTTTACTGCTGTTAAGAAGTGTGAGGAGCGCCTCGTCCATATGAATATTGACTTCACTCTTTTATTTCTTTCTCTCTCTCTCTCTCTCTCTCTCCCTCTACACACACACCCGTCGTTGTTGCCGTTGCTCCTCCTACGCGCTCTTTTATTTATCTCTCACACACTCTCTCTCTATGTAGTTACTCAACGAAAACAAACACACTGAAGGGAAAGAGGAAAAAGCAAAACAAAGAAAAAAAAAGAGTCTGAGTTAGAATACACATACATACATACATACATACATACATACATACATAGAAAAACAAACAATCAATCAAACAACAATAATAATAACAACAAATAGAAAAAAAAAGGTTTATGTACACCGGTATTAGACCTATCCACTCTCTGCATCGGCGTTTATTTTTCATTCTTTTCTCATTTCCTTTTCAATCAATCATTCATTTAATCGAGCTCATGCACACATACACACACACATATGCATTCAGTCCTTCATTTCTTTCGTTTCGTTGTGGACATTTTTCTTTTTTCTTTTTTTCTTTCTTTTTTAATGTACGTGACACCAAAACACATTTTATGTGAGGATTCTAAAGAACAAGAGACCTATTCCATTCCTCTCTTCCTTTTTCCACCACCAAGACACACATAAACATATATATATATATGGTTAACGGTACTATTTCAAAATACTATTGAAAGAGTGATTTCACCATCACCTCATGTTGTTCGCTGTATGTATATGGTACAGGCATTAGGAAGCCCACTAACTTTGGTCGGGGTTCATAATTCACCGACTTACCTTTCGTTAATCGATGAAACCCACGCTTAGATGGAACCGCACTCGCACGCAAAGACTCCTGTTCCTCCAGGAATTGTTGTTGTTGTTCCTGTTGTAATCGTGCCATTCCACCACGTTTTACCACTTCTCGCAGGAACTCTGCATCATCGTAAATTTCATCATCATTATCGCCTTCTGCGATATGAAGAGCGCGTGCTGATTTTCCTTCAGCTGAGACGGTGGCTTGGTAGTGCTCAGGGTGAGCCAGAATGGCAACATGCGATCGATTCTTTTGCACTTTCGCACGAAGTCGCGCTTTACCTTCAAGAATAGCACGAATTTGTTGTAATAATGGTTGAGAAATAGTACGTAACTTCACACTGTTGGGTTGTACAAGTTTAGCTCCCCAGTATTCAATACACTCATCCACATCTTTCATCATACGTCTGTGAGAGGCATTTATCTCTTTAAAATTAGGAGCATTTGTATGTTTTTCATCCTTTGATTTCTGTTTTTCTTTAGATTCCTTACCATCTTTAGCGAGGGCATAGAAAGTAGTGAGTAACGATTCCAGTGAATCTACAACCTCATTCACTCCTGTATGAATTTCGCCCTCATCACTCTCCAAAAAGTCTGGAAGGGCATAATATTGTGGAAAAGCCACCGCACGAGCCACGATCGGCTGCAATTTCAAACGTACACGTAAGAGTTGAGAGTACACCATCACATAATGACGAACGGCGGCTTGTGCCCGTTGACGTTCTTTAGCGCGTGGATCATCTTCACTACCCTCCACGGCCTCTTTCGCCAGCAATTCCATTTGAACATTCCGCAAGGACTCCAGCTGCTCAAGAATATCCCCCTCAGCATCTCCACCAAGAGAGCGTCGAAGGGCTTGTTTCTTGGCTTGTCGAGCCTCCAGCCATGCAATGTATTCTTCTTCGGTTTCTGGTTTACCACCACTCGTGCGTTTGCGTTTTTTCCCATGAGAAGTTTCTGCTTTATCATCGGCCGCATCTTCTTCTTCATAATCTTCATCATCATAATCATAATCATAATCTTGCCCACCTTTCTTACGACTGCCTTTACTATCCTTCTGCATATCTGAGAAGTCTGCATCATCCTCATCATCATAATCATTATAATCAAAATCCTCATCATAATCTTCATCATCATTCATCTCCAGTGCACCAAATATTCCATCCATTGCAGCTTCCACATCTACTGGTGTTGCTGCATACTCGCCTGTAGAGAGTGAGGAATCCAATGGACCACGACGACGTAATTTTTTATTTTTCTTTTCTTCTGCTTGTCGTTTTTGTTGAATTCCTTCTGTCTTCTTCCGCTTTGCCGCTGGTAATGTTTCATACTGATGAAGATAACTATTATTACCCTCATCATCATCACCACCACTACCGTCGTCGCGGTAATCATCGATGTGCGGTCCATCACCGCCTACATCGTCCCAAGCATCAGTTTCACCAAATCGTCCATCCTCATTTGCAAACTGTTCATTAATGATATCACTCACAGATTTCTTATTTGTTGATCGGCGACGCGTTAAAGAGGACGACGAGGAAGAGGACAATTGGCCGCGGCGTACAGACATGACACTGCACACACTTATACTGCCTTCCCCTCAACCTTCTTTCTTTCGGTTTCTCTCCTACAACCAACAACAAGAAGAATGTATAAAGAAATAAAAAAAAAAAATATATTTACTTAAGAGCAGCAATATTAATAGCAATAATAAAACATAAATATTAGCAAGAAGAAAAAAAAATGTATCAACGGGTAACATAGTGAAGAGGCACAGTGTTAAACATTATAAACACTAAATCCAAAAATATCTCAAGTATATGTGTACAATTTTTTAAAGAAAAAAATATATATATGTATATATATAAATAGATATATTCATTACACTCCAAGCTCACGAAGTTCTTCCTCCAACGTTTTTGGCTGCCAACCACCATCACGTTTCTGATTCTGTTGTTCCCGCTGCTGTTTCTTCTTTCCCTTCTTATTAGCGTGCTTATTATTATTATTATTATTATTATTATTATTATTATCCTCATTATACGATATTAAAGGCTTCTTTGCGTTATTCTCATCATTTGACGAAGGTACATCCACCATTCTTTTGGTCACTATTTTATTAGTCGCGTTTTCATGCACTTTTTCTTTTTTCTCCTCTTCCTCCTCTTCTTCTTCTTCTTCGTCATCTTCCTCTTCACTATTTATTTTTTGTTTTTGCCCCATTGATGAGGATGATGACGACGAGGTTATGATGCCTTCACGTTTCAGCGTTGCATGTAATGAACACTTCTCCGGTGTATATTTCTCTCGCATGCGTCGAGTATCGGGAAGGGCCCGCAGCCGCACAGGGACGGTTTGCAGGAGTCCAAGCGAGCAGAGTTCCTTGTAGAGATAGAGACGTCTATTGTTTTGACTGTAGTAATTCCCAGCCCCATCTGTGAGAACAGAGAGAAGAGGTAAATCGTGTGGGGTGAGTTCATGGCGAAGAAATTGATCACGTGTACTGGCAATCGTTCGACCACAGGAGAAAACACCACGGATACGAGAAAAGGTAAAATAAACAATTTTGGGATCTAATTCCACAATTACCTCAGAAGATTCTTTTTTTGGCATAGCAGGAAAAACTAACTAATATAATTTTTATTTTTATATACTGGATTTAATAATATATATATATAATCAACTTATTTTTTTCTCTTTCCTTAACACTCTTCCCTGGGGGCTGGGTACCAACAGTCACCAATATGAGAGAAAAGAAAATTTTACGATACCTCCTTTTTTTTCTGTTTCCGTCACTCTTTATTATTATTTATTTATAAATTAGTGTTACGTATGTAAACAACGTACACACCCACAGAATAAAAACAAAAAAAAAAAGTTAAACAAGGAATAAAAAAAAGAAAAGAAAAGAAAAAAGTAAACAAAACAAAAACAAAAAAACAAAGAGAAAGTAATACAATTAAGTAAAATATACAAGCACCCTTCCAAAATAAGATAATAAAAAAAAAAACCACAGAATATTAGTTTATTATATTCTTTACGTATGTGACTTCCTTTTCAGACAGTTTATTTCAAACGACCAAATGTGTATCACACCTCTCTCATCTGTACAAACACACACACACAAAAAAAAAAAAAAGGAATTTTTTCCTTCTCCATCTTTTTTTTTCTTTTTTTTGAGTTCTTTCATCCCTTACCTATTTCCCTACACGGTAGTGGTATGTGAAGGTAGGGATCGCCTGGGGACAAAGTATGGATTTTCACAACTCCATTTTTCTTGTGCTCGCCGCCGCAACTCATCAGTAGAACTTTCAAGTTTATTCTTTTCTCCCTCCTTTTCACCAACAGGAATAGTAGTAGCAGAATCAATATCTTCTCCTGCCTGGGCATCCCCTCCTCTGTGAATATCATCATTCTTATCATTATCATTGTCATTACGTGTCGTTGCACTCGACTCGCTAGATATCTTAACTTCACCGATAGGATCCCCACTGGTACTGCTATGACTATTACTAGTATTATTACTACTACTGCTATTATTATCCTTCTCTTCATTTGAGGCTTTTGATTGTGCTTCAACACCCACACAGACATTTAGGAAAGCAAATTCACCAAAGTGAAGATTTTTATCGGTTACCACACCTGCAGAAGGTGGTTTAGTTCCTACTGGGACATATACAGAAGGTGCAAAAATACAAACACGACCACTCTTCGTCGTTGGATTTTCCGCCGCATGTGTTGGTGTATCATACAGTGGTGGATAAATAAGAGACACTGCCATTCCTAGTTGTGCCTCATAACTTATTTTTGACTCTTTCCTCCCTTTATCTGGTGAGGCAATGACAACTTTGCTTACGGAATTACGATCCAAATTGTCAGGATGAACTTCAGAAACAGAAAGTGGAAGAGGAGCAAGATCAAAATAAATGTCTCGAAAATATACCTCTTCCAATTCCAACACCGGTTCTGGTAGCATCAAGTTATTTGTACTGTTTCCCTCTCCTACTATCGTTTTTGTTGATGTTGTGGTTGTCCCCACATCTCCTCCAACTGCTGCTGCTGTTGTTGTGGATGATAATAATGAAGATGATGATGATAGGTCCTCCTCCATATCTAATTCCATCGGCAGTGAAGGCACTAATTGTCTTTTCATGAATGCGAAACGTACATCGCGTGTCTGTCGTACATCCATCGTCACCGCCAGTCGTTCGTCCAGAAGACCAAGACGTGCAAAACTATCCACAAATCGAGCAAACACATCCCTGCCCGTGTGTACACAGACAGTTTCATCCATGGCTGCAGCTGTGCCAATGGCCCGCAGAGGGTGCGGCACAATTGTTGGTCGGGGGGTTTCTCTTGTGAAGAGTCCCGCCAGCGGTGGAAGTAGTCGCCCAGCCACCAGCGATCGCGGGATCACTCCATCCACGGTTTGATTGAGAGAAGCCGCGGCCGTTCCATTTGTATTGAGAGAAGAAGTGGTGGATTGTCTTCGGTGCGTCTTCACTCGGCGGAGGGGTGGGGCGGCAGGGGCCCAGAGACGAGAAGCGGCAATTTCCTTCGCAAGTGGCACCGCCGACCCACTTAGTTCCCGCACATATGAAAGAAGAATAAGATCATAAATCTCCGTTAAACAGTGCTGCACAAGAGCAGAGAGTCGAGCCTCACCCACACCATTCACTTCTACAAAACTAGCAGAATCATATAAATGTGGTTCCAATCCCCACAAGGTGACGTGCAATTCACCAATTACAGCTTCTACTACATCAGCTTTGATTTTACCGGTGCCAAGTTTCTCACGTACTCCACGTGGAAGAAGATCACTCACCCGAAGTGTATCGAACATAAACTCAAGTGTTACATTCATTTCACATGCATCACGAAAACAATTAAAAGCGTAGGAATTTTGACTATAAGTCCATTGTCTATCAGGGAATAAAATCATCATACGATTGGAAAGATGATTACCCCATGAATTATCTCCAATGTACTCAAGTCGCTCAAATGCGACACGACGACGATGATGTACCTGCTGCGCCATATTATCAAACGTATCTGGGGCTTGCGCTGCAAGTGAAATATCAATTACGTTTAAATCCTTCAATAATGATAATAGTTTACTTAACATTTCACTACGTTGAGTAATACTCCAACGTGGTGATACCAACTCAGGAATACGCCGAAACATTGGTTCATGATAAAGAATATCAGACCAAACAAGGTAAATATCATCAATTGGATATCCACGTATCGCTAATAACGCCAAACTATCAAGAACAACCTCACGACAAGTATGATTTGTATGACTTGCACGATAAGGGGTTGTAATGTGTGTTTTCGCCGGAACCTGCGTCTCTTCCATACATAGACGGCAGTAATTCTTCGCCTCATCCTTAAAGAATAAACTCTCTGCAGCAGCAGGACTTCGTAATGAACGCATGGGTTGTGCACCATTTTCTTTTGTCGCCGCCGGTGCTGTGGCATCATCCGCGATAAAACTCACATAATTGCCGAGTACATCTCCACCATTACCAGAAGAAGAAGAAGATGATGATGACAACGAAGAGGAAAAACTAGCATTAGCACTACTACTACTACTACTACTACTAAGGTTATTATCAACACTTCCCCCAGCGGTAGCAGAACCAGAGAAGGATGTAAAACCTACTGTAACTCCCCGCCGCGCGTAGGACTGAGAGTGTGCTACTTCAACCCGTTCAAGTGCGAGACGAGTAGATGAGGTGCTAAAGTGTCGAGAGTAGAACTGCGGTGTTATTCCTCGAAGATCACAAGAGAACCAAATACTCCTGCGGCAAGGGCCTCCACCACGCGGTCTCATTAGATCTAAACTCTTCTTCTTCTTCCTCTTCAGTACCACAACTACAGTACAGATTATACACAATCATACCACAAAAATAAAAAAAAAAAGGAATAAGAAAAGAGGAAATGGAGTATGGAGAGGAAAAAGAAGAAGGACAACAGAAAGAAATAAAGAAAGAAAGAATCCAAAAAAAAAGAGGAAAAAGAAAGAAAAAAAAAAACATAGAGGGATTGCTTTACAGTACCTTCTCAAAAAGGGATTATTGCAGTTTCCCATGTGATATTCTGCACATTGTTTAACAGACACAGAGAGGCAAGAAAAGACCCTCAGTTTTTAAACTGCAGTGTATCAGCACTAACGCTGTTAAAGACACCAAACCAGATCAGAAGAAACATCAAATAAAAAACCACCTCAATCTTCATCACTATCACCAAAAAAAGCATGCACATCCGCCACTTCACCTTCATCATCCTTCTCTTCCGCCTCTTCTTCTTCTTCTTTTTCCTCTCCATCTTTATTCATCTCTGCTTCGGCCATTTTATCACCCATATTCTCTGGAGCCGAAGTAGAAGCCGCTGTCGCCAAAATATTGGAAGAAATAGCCAATACCCCATCACCAGTGTAGACTCCACTGTCAAGAACCTCATCATCATCATCATCATTTCCCTCACCGGTAGTTGGGATATTATTAACACTAGAATGCACCTTCTTCTCTATTCCACGGTAGAGTTCATTGAACTTGAAAAATACATCTGCGCGGTTCTCAAGTTTTGGTACAAATGGTGTAGTATACGGATATGGTAAATCAACTGGTCGTGGTCGTAGAGACATACAATATGTACAGCGAACAACAGCTTCTCGTTCTTTTGTATTTAAATCAACCCGCACACTGTTCGACATGCGACAAACAGGACAGTCAAAGGTTGTAAGACACTGCAGTGAACGCTGATATTTAGCTGCTGCTGCCTTCTGATACTTGTTTTTCTCACCATCTTCCTTCTTTGATCCTTTTTGTAATTTTTTATGCATAAATGAACGGCTGTTGCGGGAGAGACGTGGGGCTGAGGTTGATGACCCACCGCCATTTGCATTACTGCCTTCTCCAGAGTTCATCAGTTATGTATATATGGTATATATATATACACGCACGGATTACCCCTTCTTCTTCTTTTCTGTTGATGAAGAGGAAAGAGAAGCAAGCAGAGCAAATAGTGACAACAAGTATAAATAATAATAATAATGGATGCGAATCGCACGCATCATGCAAGAAACATAAAGGTATACCATTTCTAATTAAACGGACATTTGTTGTACCTTTTTTTTTTTTTCTGTCTCTCTTTCTCTCTCTCTCTCTCTCTCTTTTTCTCTCTCTTCCTCTCACTCCAAGCTTTAGATAACTTCTCTAAAAAAATTCCATCATGAAGTTTCTCACTATTTTAAAAGTAGTAATGCTTAAAAAGCAAAGTCACCATCGTCTTCATCATCTGCGGCAACAGCGGGTGTAAAGAAATGCGAGCCGTCATCCTCATCCTCAAATTCAATTCGTTGCATGGTATCTACTCTACCAGCTGTATTCTCCCCACGAGATCCCGCCGCTGCGGCTGCTGGCACTGCAGCCTTTGGAATGAGTTGGACCAAACCTGTTTTCGTAGTCATATCATCCGTCTCAATATTATGTTCATGCAGGAATTCCCGATCCTGCTGCATTAACTCTTCGCGAAAACGGAAAAAGACATCCACTGCTTTTTCTAGTGGGAGGAGTGGGTACTCTTTACCAGCACCCGCACGGCAGGAGCGGCAGTGTAGTTTGGCAGATCCAGTATTGCGAATGAGTCGCACGGCGATAGAGTTCTTCGCATCACACAATGGACAATCAAAACGTGAGGGGATCTTGTATTTACTCTCCTTCTTAATGGGCACTGCGGCCTTCTTCTTTGCCCCACCCATGGCCTAGAAAAGATAAATCCAGAGTAAATATGTATATATATGTATATATTTACACACAAACACAAAGAAACAACTTCAACAACAACTACAACGACCAACAACTAACGAACCTTAAGGACAATGGGAATCAAAAAAAAAATCAATTCAACCACTTGCTCTTTCTCCATAATGAAATTAAATAAAGAAAAAGAGAGAAGAGAAAGAAAGAGAAAATACACATAGGTGTCTAAATTTTATCTAGTTTTCTTTCAATACTTGTTTCCACTGGTTGCATACTAAACCCCTGCTGCAGTCTAATAAAGAAGAAACAACAACAACCAACAAACACACAAAAAAAAAAAATGACACATTTCCACCTTTTAATAATAGAGGGAATAACAATAATAGTAGTGATAGTCACTGCTAATGTTACTACTGCTGCTCCACTCTACTTTTTTTTTTCTTTTTTCTTTCTTTTAGCAGGTGGGCTTCAGAAGGCCTTACATTTTTTTTTTCTGTTTGGATTTAAACGCATTTTTTTTTTTTTTTATAGGGAAGAAAGTGGAGGAACATGTTTCCCTACCAATGTCTTCATAAAGAAAAGAAGAGCCAAAAAACACACACATATATACACAGAAATAAAAATTGAATAGAAGTAACGGAGAGAAAAAGAAAAGAGAGTACAAACCCCCTTTCCATATCTTCTTTCTTTCTTTCTCTTTCTTTTTCTTTATCTCTCTCACTCCTCTCTCATGCACACAGACTGAAAGAGAAAGAGAGTCGTAAAGTAAGAGAATTTGTTCAAAACAAATTACACGAAAAAAAAACCAGAAAACTGAACAAATCTCTTTTTTTATTTCGGTATATACGCTAAATTATATTAAATAGATATATGTGTACGTGCACGGCCCCATGCTCATATGAGCAATAATATTATAATTTTCCTTTTCTTTCCCCTCTTTTTTTTTTTGCCTTTTTGCTCTTTTCATTTACCTTCTTTCCTTCTTGGTAGGGGGTTCATTACCATTCTTTCCAGTACGCGGGGTACGTACCATCTTATCCGATGTTGTATTCTTTTTATTACTCTCAAGCGCTGAAGTCCAGTGACCTGCTAGTCTTGCCTGTGTTTTCTTTAGCAATTCATTGGCTTCCTCCACTAACAATTGTGTCTTGTCTGTTGTAGTGATTTCACTCTTATCATTATTGTTGTTATTATTATTATTATTATTATTATTACTACTACAGCTACCGGTAGTTGTCGTTGTACTTGTGAGTGAAGTACTCGTTGGAGGGCGATCAAACATAAAGAAGTGTCTTTCATATCGCACAGGCTGTGTTCTTGCAATAGTGGCACTGAGAGCCTTAAACACCGCCACTTCACCATCACGTTGAGTTCCACTTGGTCCATTCTTCTGTAGTAACATGTGTAGATGTCCTGCTCGCATGGCCCGTGCAGTACGGCCAGCACGATGAACATACTGTGAGAGAGTCTCTGGTGGGTGATACATGATAACATGACCAACATTAGGAACATCCACACCACGCATTAACGCATCAGAGGCGACTACACAGGCATCCGGAGAGGATTTCAATAAAGCCCGTCGTCGTTCACTTTCTGTGGTGAGAGTTGTGAACTCCGTCGCCCGCACACCAGCAGAGAGAAGAAAGTGACCCATCACACGTGCCTCCTCAGCAGAGCGGCAGAAGATAAGAATACGTTCACCAGCATCATCATCGCAGGACGGGTACTCACCTGTGGATGTACTGTTAGGATTGTTAGTACTACTAATTCTAATACTAGTATTATTATTATTATTATTATTATTATTATTATTATTATTATTATTATTATTATTAGTATTATCAGTAGTAGTAGTGTTGGGATGAAAGTGTGTGGTAGAAGTGCAGTTGTTTTGTTGTCTTCGGCGTCGGCGGTGCCCAAGAGCACGAAACTCCGCATCCGCGTGCTCCTTATCATCATCCTCTTCATCCTCATCCTCATCATCATCACTGTTGGTTCCATTGCCGCTCTTCAATAAACTATCAGCAGAATCTTTAAGCTGTTCCTTTTCCTTTTCCTCCTTTTCTTCTTCTTCTTCTTTCTTTTCATTTAGTGGAGTTGCTTCAAGTTTCTCCCCTCTTTGTTTAGCAATAATTGACCGAATAAGTTTTAACAAAACCGCGTGGCGGTACCAATCTTCCACAAAAACTACGTGTTCCTGCAGTCTTGGAGGAAGAGCAAATGATGTGTGAACAAGCTGCTGTCGTGAAATAGGCAAAGCCCCAGCTGGATCATTATTCTCATCGTTTTCATCATCATCATCATCATCATCATTATTATTATTATTTCCTGCTGCTCCACCGCGCTTTTTCCCTTTTACTTTCTTACTCTTATTCTCAAGAGATTGTAGCTGGAGTGGTTCTCCCTCATCTTCACGGCTAATATCACTACCAAAGGTATCCAAAGCAAAGTGTCGGCAATTACGTAGTCGAACTTCTGATACTCGAGCCACATGAGAAGAAAGTGTTGCCGAGCACAACATTTTATGTAGACTATATGTGAGATGCATTAGTCGTCGTGTATTGCTTTTCTCTGTTAACCGAGTTAGTTGTTCCTCTTCAAATCGTTCTACTACCTTGGCGACAAAGTTTGCAAAATTACCAGCAAGGACTTGATCCGCCTCATCAATGACAAGAAGACGAAGATCGGCAAGAGACAATCCAGCCGTGCCATCCAAATGACGTAAAAGTCTCTGCGGGGTTGCAATGACAATATCAGCGCGTGAGTAGTAACACAACTGCGAGGAACTTGCTACAGCGAGACTACCTTCTCCTCTCTTTTTCTCATTATTATTATTATTATTATTATTATTCTCCTCATTTCTCTCCCCTCCTAGTAGTGAATGACGCGATGCAGTGGTGTTAGACAGAACAGCAGCCGTACGCACAAGTGCCTCTGCCTCCTCCTTCACACTATTCTCTTTACATAGAGAGACCACGGCGATGGAAGTTCCACGTGTGAGTTGTTGTAATTCCCTATACACCTGAATGCCAAGAGCTTTGGTAGGCACTAATATCAATGCCCGCAGTCGTGTGTGATCTACTCCCTTCTTACACTCCGCCACGAGCCGCAGCATGGGAAGTAAATAACATAAAGTCTTTCCACTTCCTGTTGGGGCGGTGAGGCAAACATCCATTGGGAGTCCACTGAGAAGAGCACGTTGAACAGTAGGCACAACCGCCTGTTGGACAGGGAGCGGGGAATTGTAATGTAAATACTCCTGCAGCGGCCGCAGAAGCCAGGAATCACTCTCCCCTAAACAATCATCCCAAGTTGTTGTTGTTGTTGCTGTCGTTGTTGTTGTCATGGCGTTTTTTATTTATTTTTTATTTATTTCTTTTTTTTTTTAATTTATTTTGTTTTTCTTTTTGTTTCCCAAAGCCAAAGGAAGAGAATGCCTGGGAATCAGAAGATGAACAAGTAAAAAAAAAAAAAAAAGAAAAGAAATTACGGTGCACTATTGTTTGGTTTTATTACTAGTGTTGTTACTACTACTGCTGCTGCCTTCCCCTACTTGTTTACCAAATCAAAACCCCACACACACGGAAAGTGGTAGGTGTCAGAAAGAGAAGAAAAAAAAGGATAAAAGAGAGAAGCATAAAGCAAAAGAAAAAAGATACGCTGTTTTATTTTAAAATTCCATACCTTTTGTGTGTATGAGTACAATATTCCACTTTTTTTTTCTTTTTCTTTTTGGGCACAGTTTTGCTTCACGGAAGAAAATAATAAACTACTCTTCAAGTAGATTGTTACGCTAATGTGATTGAATGAACTCAGTATATATATACATATATATATATATATATATATATATATATATATAGATAGATGATAAAAATGAAGTGAATATCGGCGTTTTCTTCTCTCTTTATCTCTTCTCCATCCACTCGTGCAATCTATAAATGTGCAAAGCGGTATTCATCCCCTATCTTTTCAAAGAGAAACAATTTTTTTGCAGCTGCAGAACGTAACAAAGAGCGTCGACTCCCATCATCGTTCCCTACTGGTCGCTTTACCGCCATAAAATGTGAAGAATGTCGTGCTAATCGCACGGCTTGTGCAAGTTCTGAGTTTCCACTCATCTTTGTATAGAGTGGATTCACAAAGAAATCTCGCATAAGCGCACGCTCTGTGATGACTTTATCTGTGGCTGCCTCATGTACAGTTAACAGTGCGGCCGTCTTTCCACCCGCATTTGTGCATTTACGTGTGATGAGAACACCATCAAACAAAACAGCGGCAATGGGAAGTTTACGAGAATACACCGGCACTTCGCGTTCAGAGACTGGAATGTGTTCGGCAAAGAAATCACAGAGTGCTTGTCGCTCTGCACATCCATTGACAAGTCTATATGTGAGACCTTGTGGATCTCGTCTATCCTCAATGGTAAAGGGAGAGTTTTGACTTGCACAGATTCCCTGCAGAGCTGAAAAAGCCTCAAAGTCTGTACAGAGTAGTGGTAGTAACTTATAATGAAAGTGTGGTTGATGAATAGACTTTAGTTTATCAAAGTCTGTCACGATAATATCACGTGGTAGTCGTGGTAGATTAGGAGTAGTGGCGGCCATGTGAGTCATTAAGGCAATACGGCGTAGTTTATATCCACTAAAGACTTCATCAAATATATTTTCACGGGTGATATCGCCAGAGACTTGGTGAATTAACAGTGGGATCATTTGTTTATGTCTCTTCTTAATAAGTGAGGCGTATACATCTCGCTGCATTGTTTACGTTCTTGTTGGTGTCTCTATACTTTATGTATAGAATATTGTTTTTAACCCTTGTGGAAATACGCTATTTTCTCTCTTCTTTCTTTCTCTCTCTCAGACACAGAGACAAACACACAATCTATCTCACATACACACAAACGCAAATAGAGAGAAAGAGAGAAAAACGAGCCAATGGAACTGCAGCTCGCAGTCTCTTCTCTAGAGCCTTCTACTTTCAATTATTTCTGCAATACCGTTACAAATAATAGATAGAGAGATATAGAGGAAAAAGAGAATCGAAAAGTGAATACACAAATATCTACAGAAATATATATATATATATATATATATATATATATACTGTATAATAGAGGAAAGGATGCAGAGAGTTCCTTTTTTTTCTTTTTTCATCTCTTGGAGTCACATACATACACACACAAACACAAATAAAAAAGAAACAATAACCTTTCTTTTAGTTTTCATCCACTTTCACAGAAATGCAACCATGCACATACAAAAACAGGTACAGATATATGTTTAAAATTAACCACCTATAAAGTACGAGGAAGAAGAAGAGGGGAGGAAAAATGATATGTATGTATGTATATGCACGTTTGTGTATATGTAAAGATATCCCACAGACACAAACAAACACAAGAAAAAAAAAAAAAAAACGCCAAAATTTCTTGTCTTCTATAAAAATAAAAATATATACGCATTCCTCTACACTAAGAGAGTGTACGCATATATATATTTATTTATTTATTTATGCTTCATTCTCTATATAGTAGGAAGATGATAATGCCTTCTGGCTCTATGTATTTTAATAATAATAATAATAATAGTCTTCTTTTTCCCAATAAAAAAAAAAAAGTAGAAAGAAACACACAAACAAACACATACACACAGTGAGAGATAGAGAAGGAAGGATCACCAACCATCAACTTTTCGCTTGCTGTTGTTTTTTCCCCCCTTCTTTTTTTTTTTTCTTCCTTTTTCGTTTTCTTCTTCTTTTTTAAAACAATTCCCATCATCGCTTTCGTTATTTTGAAATATTATCAAAACCCCGCATAGACGGCAACAGACTACGTCGCATTCCACTACTGCGAAATATCTGCTGATGTAATAAGGCCACATTAATTGCACGTGGTCGAGATGTGAAGAGTTTCTGCCGTTTCTGCGCTAAATAACGTTTATAAGTTGCCTGTTGATCGGCAGTGAGATCATTCCATGATTTGGCCCGCGTGTCGAGTAGTGGTCTGTCGAGATCTACAGTGTCTGGACTGTTCACATCACTCTTCGTGATCTCGCGTAGGAGCATGCCGGGATAGACATTAGAAGGCAATTCAAAACTTAAATCTAAACAACCATCACTCTTCTCTGCAAGCCAATAAGGGGCAGGGGAAACAGCATGGGAAACTCGCATTCCATTATGATTTCCACTACTCATACTCATACTATTATTATTATTATTATTACCACTAACTCCACCTACTATTGTAGTATTACTAGTAGTAGTAGTAGTAGTTCTATACGTAGTAGCACGTCCTATTAGTAATTGCTGTTCGTTACCATCACTATCACCAGCACCACTACTACTACTACTACTATTTTCTGTATAGAGTGGAAGGTTTCTATTATCATTCTGTGCAATGGTTTGTCGAACCCACTGTGCCCATCGCTTATGTGGATAACTGGGTTTTCCCACATGCATTCGCCACGTTAACGTGGATGATGGATTTATCAAAACATGACGGTAGAATCCACATACATTAACACCTAATGGATTTCCAGGAACTGGCCCCTGACGTAAATCACTTCGCAAATGACTAGCATCCCCCATTGTTGTTGTGGCTGTTGCTGTTGCTAAAGTCTTATCTCCTACACCTTCCATGTTTACATCATCAATAGGTTCTACAATGGTGGTACTACTACCCAACTCCTCCTCCATTAAAGCAAAGGAAGATGAGAAACGTCTGTACGGTGATGATGTTCCCCACACCGTAGACTGCGGTGATTCCTCACCAGTAAAACTATGTCGTGGTTTAAATATATCCCATTGTCTCGTTTCAGGATTAAAGGGAATACCCATCCGCTTAAGGGTTACAATATATAGATCGGTAGTATGATTATCAGGTAAGTGTACACCCACACCTGGAATAGGTAATACCACATCAAAGAAGTTATATTCACCTTTATCAATATCTTTTTTAGAAGCATACACAACACGACCGTAATCTTCTGAATGTGGAGAAGCCAACGGATTCTTACGCACAAGATCACCTGGAAGAATAGCAAAGGTACCATACCGCTGTAAGCGTTGATTTACAATATCATTCCATACAAATGCCAGAAACTCATGTACCAACATTAAACATGCTTTAGGTCCTACCACATGTAAAAAGGCTTCTGCACAGGGATCTAGAGATAATCCATCTTTTTTACCTTGTTGTTGTTGTTGTCCGTGTTCATCATCCTCTTCACCAATAAAAGCACTTGCTTGTAAGGCACTATCTAGAATAGATTGTAATGCTGTACCATGTTCTGTAATGGATCGTCTCGTATGAAAAGACTTGTCAAGATCCGAAAGTCGAAATCCCATTCCTTTAGAATGATACATTTTTGGAAAAGCCGCACCTGTACGTCTTTTCTCCGCTGCGAGATCCGCATCCATAGAGAATTGTTGAACAATAATACTTGCCGCCGCTCGAAATTCTCCTTTAAGGAGATGTAATCCTGGATGCATGTTATGTTTGGTATAACTAGCAAACCGCTGTGGACCAAAGTAGTTAATAAATCCTTTTTCCATTACGGAATGAATAGCCGGTTTGACTAGAGAAAGATGACTCTGTGGGATTCGACGTAGTTTTACATTATAAGCATATCCATCATTATCCCCAACACGGAAATCATAACTAGCACTCTCTACTTCCATATCAATACAGAGGTATTCAAATATCTTTTCTGGAGTCATAGTTGCAAGGACTTCTTCTAATACAACTGTATGGGCAACTTTCTTTGATTTTAATTTCTTTTTACGTAATTTTTTATTTCGTGAATTCATCTCTTCTGTATCTTCTGTTGTTTCCATAGTCTCATGTTCTTCTCTTCCATGTTGTTGTTGTTGTTGTTGTTGTTGTTGTTGTTTACTACGTTGCTTACCCATAGCCAGTAATTGCTCTTTTAGTGAAGATGACCACCCTGTTGGGTCAGCCACATCCACAGCACTTACACGATCGTGAAAGACCAATTGAATATTTGACAATCGATAATAATGTGTACTCCAAAACTCACGTTCTTCCTTATTTACAATCATATGTTGTAATGGACGTAAAGTTTGATGTGTGTGGAATCGACCGTTTACAGTTCGTTGAACGGTATAACTAGAGGATGGTATACGATGACCAAGAAGACGACGTCCACTTACATACGCCTGTGTTTCACTATGTGTGGAAGAGAAGGAAAGATTTGGTGGAAGTTCCAACATACTACCATTACTGTTTTTCTTTATACTATTACCACTACCACCATTAGTAAAAATAGTATTCATATTACTACCACGATGAAGTGTTATCATTTCCACACGATCTGTAAAATGTTCACCTGTTTGAAGTGTACGTGCGAGAGCCTCAACATGAGCCAGACAACTTCCACGAATACGTATACGTTGAAAACCATGAGCGGCGGCTTCAATTACACCAGCGTGGGATACAGTAATCTTTGGAGCATACAATACAGGTCTCACTATACCACCAGCAATACCATTCTCTTTATTTTCATTCTCATCTATATTATTATTATTATTATTATTTTCTACTACAGATAGTCTTTGCATCTCCAATGATTGTCGTTGTAATTCAGTGAGAGTTTCCACCATATCTTCTACTACCAATCGATGTGGTAAACCTTTCTTTTCCAAGAGACATTCCACCACTACAAAGTCTGCAGGGAGAAGTGCTGTTTTGATATGCGACTTACGTGATTTAAAACCTTTCCATAGAGAACTATCATTTAGTATTATTCCTTCAACTGCCTCATTTACACTTCGAATAGATGATACACTTCCTCCTTGTTGATGTTGATGTAATGACTGCTGTTGTTGTTGTTGTTGTTGTTGTTGTTCTTTTTCAGAGACTTCTAATCCAATATCCGCATTTTCCTCTCGAGTCAAGTCACTATGATACCGTTGTTGCCCCTTTTCTTTCTCTTTCTCTTTTCGTTCTTGTTTTTCTAGCCTTACTTCTGGTATTTCCACCTTTGGCCATATAGATACATACAAGTAATCAAGATCCCCATGTACGTGAAGATCCTTAACGAGATTTCCCCAAGTCCGCCAAACAAGTTGAATCGCCTCTCGCATCGCAGAAACAGCTGGAGTATCTTCAGATGACATCTCAAGAACTACACCCGTAACAGAAGCCACTTTCGTCTTTATAAGGTGAAGCCATGGAATCCTTGTTGTCTCACCTGTACATAAACTACTTGTTTCCTGTTCACTCGCTCGCATGTTAAGAAGTATAGAGGAGGCTGTAGGAAGTGGATCATGTTGACGTTTCATCACACGTCCAATAAAACGTCGTAGGGCTAATACACCATCTTTTCCAAGTGTTTGTTGTAGTTGATAAAGTTCAGGAGAAAAATATATTTCTACACTAGCTTTAGGAAGACGACTGGAAGTGATTGGGGTTCCATCTTCATATACTTCCGGTTCTGCATGTTTTGCAATATGGTATGGGAACTCTTCACTAAGTTCTTCCTTTGCGATGAGACTACCAGAAACCCATAATGAAAGTGAGATGTGATTCTCCTCCGCAGGGAGACATAGGAATGGACTTCGAAAAGCCTCAAGAAGATGTTTATCTTTCTTTCCACAGATATTCATAGAAAGTCCAAGAGGTTCAAGAAGATGTGAAGAAGAGGAGAGACTGGTGTAACCTTTATCTTTAGCCTCTTTCACATTATCCACAAGTCGATCTACCAATGAGTTTTGTTGTAATGGTAATAATGTGCCTTGTTCTCTTCTCTCTCCAAGTTGTTGACGGGCATCATGACTGAGTGCTTCTGCCACTCGTACAAGTTCTGCAAGAACTATCGAACGATGTTGTTCATATGTGTTATTCTCCAAAGCGACTTGTTTTCCTATATGCAGTGGAGAATGTTTTTGTTCTTGTTTCTGCAGTTGTGTGTTTCCTCCCATATTTTCCAATAGTGTATCTTTCTTCATCACAACTGTTTCTGAATTCATTGTTGTTGTTGTTGTGGACTCCGACTCTTGCTGTTTGTATTCCGCATCTTCACTATTACTACCTGTCTGCGCTTTTACTGTTGAGATCTCCACTTCCTTCTTTTTCTCTGAGGCATGGAGGGCCTTTGCTTGTAGTAAATCTCCAATATCATTTATTCCACCCGTAACCGCAGTATCTGCAGTGTTGTTGTTGTTGTTGTTAACACTATTCTTCTTATCATCAGCAGAACTCCCGAGTTTCTCCTTTTCCTCTTGCTCACATTGCCAAATCTCCCGCACAACATAATCCTCCGGACAAGACTTTATATATCCCTGAAAACCCTTTACACTTGGTTTGGTATGCCGTACGAGATGACATTTACGTTCCGCTGGCAGTCTATTCCGTTGTCGCTGGGCAAGATTGAGTTCGTGGTAAATTCCCTGATTATATCGCTCATGTGCGAGTCGTAGGGCCACGCGGGATTCAGGGGAGTCAAACTTACTTCGCGCGTCCTCAATGCTCATACCAAGAATGAGCCGCCGTCGCCATGAGTGGGTTGCCTTCATGTCTTCACCTTCCCTCCTCCCTTAATAAGTATATACCACAAGAAAAGAAAAGAAAATAGATAAATAGATAGATGGGAATGAGTGGAGGAGAGAAAAAAAAAAAAGATATAATAAAAAAGGGAGGTTGAACACGTTGGATTATGTTTCGGAATCTTTGCATGTATTTCTCTCCCACTCTCACTCTCTCACTGTGTGTATGTGTCTATTACCACACTTTAAATAGGTGAGATGTTCAAGAAGATCTCACGTATTTTTCTTTCTTCTTTTGTCTTGTTTACTTATTGTTGATATTATTATTATTATTATTATTATTATTATTATTATTATTATTATTATTATTAAGACTTCTTCTTCTACCCACTCCCTTTTTCTTTTTTTTTTCCCCCCTTCCTTCTTTCTTCCTTCCTCCTCTGTGACTTCTGGGGAGGTTTATTAATAACACTCACAGAAAGAGAGAAAGAGAAGAATAAATGAAAGTTACTTGGATTCATAACCACAAGAAAAAAGAAAAATATAAAAAAAAGAAAGAAACAAGAACAACAAATAGAATGTTGGAAATAACTGCAATTAAATAAAAAAAAAAAAAAACAATGTAGTCATGAACGTAAAAAATATATATATATACATAAAAAAAAAATGATAATTAATAATAATAATAATAATAATAATAATAATAATAATAATAATAATAATAACACAACCATTAACCTCCCCTATCTCGTATCCCTAAATCCATACACATCATCAAAGTGTACACCCAATCTACTTAATGCATCTTCCATTCCCATCTCCTTAAAGAAGAAATCTTTCATTTTCCCATCTGGCCCTACTAAATAGATCGCACTACTGTGATCAAATTGATAGGTATCATCTAATACAATCTCTGGAATTCCTTTTGCCTCCCGTGCCTCTCGTTCCTCGTCTGTTTCTTCAATAGAAGAGTAAAATACCCGCCAGGCCTTTGCGGCGATTTGTACTTCCTGTTGATTTCCACAGAGAGCCCGCACACGTGGATCGAATTTAGATACAAAAGACTCCAGCACCTCTGGGGTATCGCGGAAGGAGTCAATACTTAAAAACACCGCCTGCAGTCGAGAAGCCTCTTGAGCCGCATTGCCTTCCATCGTGGCATCACATTTCTGCATAAGTTCTGATATAAACTGTAGTGTTGTTGGGCAGACTTCTGCACATTTACTAAATCCAAAGTAAAGTAATGTCCAATGATCTTGAAAGAGTTCCTTATCTGTGATGTACTTTCCTGTTCGGCTCTCACGTAGACAGAATGGACCTCCCAATTGTTGTTTGTTTGTGAATGAGACTTCCTTTATGGATTGAAAGTCCGGGGCCAATTCAGGCGGTTCTTGTTGTTGTCGTTTACGTTCATCATACCAATTCATCAACATCACGGAAAGGGGGAAAACACTACAGCCAAGACAGAGACCAAGAAACTCCGCACGATTACGAGGTCCGTGCTTGAGAACAGAGAAGAATTCATCTTTTTTCCCCTCTGCTTGTTGTTGTTGTTGTTGTTGTTGTTTTCCACTAGATGAGGAAAGGCGGAAAGCACCACACACTCTCAACGGGATCGCCCGACGCTGAAGAGCCAATCGCATGAATCTATTTAACGAAAAAGAGGAAAAAAGAAAAAAAAAGTAAAGTAACACTACACAAACGTTATTGCAGAGAGAGAGAGAGAGAGAGAGAGAGAATAAATGGCAATACAAAGAGCATCTTCTTTGAATTTAAAAAGAAAAGAAAACAAAGTCTGTAAACTAAAAATGGATTCACTTTACTCCAGCAAGAATAGCAACAAGATCACAGCAACGACAAAGGTGACAAGAATGGAATTCTCAGCATCACTAGTCACACCACCAAAAAAAAAAAAAAAACCGTAAAGGGAGAAGAAAACAAATGAACTTTCAAAGCAGAGCAATACATACGTATATATATATATATATATATATTATAGATACACTTCACTGAATTGAAAAAAAAAAAAAAAAACAAAAAAAAAGCCATGAGAAATCAGACTTGATACTAAGAAGAATACAGAAATATAAATCGCCTTCATCATCACCAACACAAATACATATATATATATACAAAAAGAAGAAACGCCAAAGATCAATTGCCCAAGTACAGTGAAAAGCATAGATCCCATAAAAATGTACGTTAAGCAAAAGAACAGACCAAAAACAAATAAACAAACAAACAAATGGTCAATGAGGAGAAGCGTAATTTACACCATCACGAAGAAGTGGTATTTTCAGTTCTTCTAATCGTGCTTCCCATAGTCGTTCAGCTAAGACGCAAAAAACCAATGCATCAAGACTACTATGAAATTTCTTCATCACATCATATTCGTGTTGACGCAGTATTGGCAAACTCCCCATCTCTTCTCTTCCAGATTTAGAAGAAGACGGTGGAACAACTGTAACTTTTCGTATATAAACAAACTGAAATATTTGCTTTGGTGAGACTGTAAAAACTTGTATAGCGTTTGGAGTGACAATAGCATTTGGTATTCCCATTACATACGGTGGAGCCTCCTCCCTTGTTGGGAGAACTAATGAAGGAAGAAGGGCAACAATATCTCTAAAAGGAATAAACTCTCGAATAGCGGAAGCATCATCACCCCAGACATCCATCCCTTTATTATTATTTTCATCTTCACTGTCTAATTCCTCAGAGTTTCCAGGATTTAAATGAGAGTAAGAAGAAGAGGATATACTTCTCTCATTACTATTATTATTATTATTCTCTTTACTATTATCAAGTGCAAAACTTCTAAAATAGAGACCATGAGATGTTGCCCAAACCACACCACTCACGGGCTTTCCCTCTGAGAGAAGTGAACAATTCGCACTCACCACCACATAACTATTCGCCAACTCCAATTGTCTTGAGAATTTCTCCGTGAAGTTCCCTACAGAAATTTTTATCCGCCGCTGTTCGGCTCCATCCCAGAAGGCACTCCACCAACCCTTACTTTTTTCTCTACCGCCTGAAGTTGGAGGGGTGAAGGAGAGAAGGGCCTCAAAGACATTCTTGTAGGAGAATGGGTGGGGGGCTACTGTGTAGGTGAGAGTGGCCGCGTTATTTTTAGATGTTGTCATGTCTTTTTGGGGAATTCGTTAGGGGAGACTTCCTTTGTTTTTTTTTGTTTTTTTTTCCCCCCCCTCAATAAACTGATGTGGTTCCAGCCACTAGGTGAAAAAAAAAATAAAATAAACAAGATGGTAAGGAAAAGAGAGAAAAAAAAAAGAAAGAAAGGATGATGTACATAGAGAGAGAGAGAGAGGTACCCATATATATGTATATATACATACGTAAATAATAATAATAATAATAATAATAATAATATTGCACAAGTGGCAAAACAGACTATAAATCCGTGATGATGTGCATTTCTCATTATAACTCAGAAACACTTTTTTTTCCCCTTCTTTTCACTTTCTCTGCACCTCCTCTTTCTTTTTTTTTTATTTTTTATTTATGTGTGCTACTCAATCCCCCCCTTGTAGATATGAATTAGGAAAGGAAAGAAGCACGAAAACAAAACAAAACAGTTCACTTCGAAAAGGAAAATATATGACCTCATTCAAAGGCCCGCACGCAAAGAAAAGAAAAAAAAAGAAAGAAAGAAAACGTCGAAAAAGAGAATATATATATATATAGCAAAACAAAACAACGAAAAGAAGAAGAAAAAGGAAATAAAAGTAAAATTTTGTATGTTTGCCAATACACAGATATATATATATATACCAAACACTATTGCTATTCTCAGTTTCCATGCGCCCCAACAGACTCCAGTGCTTGTGCAAAGGACTCTGAGGTGATAACAGGCTTTCCATGTAAACCCCTTTCTGCTGCCATCTCCAGTACAAGTAAGAGTTGTTTAATAGGTACGGTTGCTGGTAAAATATTCTCACATTCCTGCGCAGCCTCCTCACTCGCAAATGGAATTCCCAACTCTCTTGTGATTTGCCGCAGTGCGTGTGGAGGTACGGTTGGTATTTGTAATTTCACAGAGAAACAAGAAACCAATTCAAGACTATCCAAAACATCATACTGTGCCGTTGTACCAATCACAAGTAATTTTCTATTTTCCAATGTTGGTCGTTTAATTAATACTAATAAGGCTTGAAGAATGGCATTACTATATCGTCCACCAAGATGAGAGAATTCAATAATACGTTCAAGATCATCCAAAATAATGGCACTTGCAGGGGATTTATAAGCATCCTCAAAGGCCTTACGTATAATATTTACTTTTTGCATTTCACCATAACCAACCATATCATCTGTAGAAATAACCTTTATATATGGGAAACCAGCTTTTTCTGCTAAATATGCCGCTACTGCAGATTTACCACAACCGGGTAATCCTTCAATAAGAACAGCAAGTGCATTTACACGTTTTCCATCTGTATTTAACTGTTCTACATAGCGAGAACAGCGTTCTTCCACTATTTTCCATGGTTCACCATAGTGAATAATACCACCACGTTTGAGATTACTGCATTCCTCCTTTGCTTGTCCAAAGGCGGGTTTAACTTCCTCAATGGCATCCATAAAGTCTTGACGAGTGACAGAAACATCACTGGCATCAATAAGTTCTGTTGGATTATCAAAATCAATATGTTTATTAAATGCATTAGAGGTGGCTGAACGCACAACTCCCTCAATCTCTGCACCTGAATAGTTCTTTGTGAGTGCTGCCAATTCTGCAAGATCTACATCTTTCCCAAGTACTCCATTATCACTCATACCACGTGTGTGAATATGAAAAATTTCTCTACGGCCTTCTTCATCTGGAAGTCCAATCTCCACATGTACTTCAAAACGACCTGGACGGAGAATGGCTTCATCAATGAGATCACGTCGATTTGTCATTCCAATAAGAAGAACATTATTTAAAGAATTAACACCATCAATCTTTGAAAGAAGTTGATTCACAACATTATCATTTACACCTGTAGAATCTCGTACCGCACCTCGTTGTTTACATATAGCGTCAAACTCATCAAATATAATGAGATGCAGTTTAGATTGATCTCCTTTGGCAGCCGCTTCAGCTTCCGCATCCACAAATAGTTTTCGCACATTTTCCTCTGTTCCTCCCACAAACTTATTAAACACTTCTGGACCATTAACAATCTTTGGTGGATGACAGTTTAGAATTTCACCAATTTTACGCGCAATTAGGGTTTTACCTGTCCCTGGTGGTCCATACAATAATACACCTTTTACATGTTTAACACCCAACTTCTTTACATAAGAGGCTGGAAAGAGACGACTGGCAAAGGCACGACGAAACACTTGGGCGAATTCATTTCGTAAACCACCAATACCAAGTGTTTCAAGATTAAAGTTTTGCATTAACTGTGGTTGTTGAGCATCTAATTGATGATCAGGCACATTTACAAGAGAAATTTCACTCCGTTCATTCGCAATAACGATAAGACTTGTTGTGAGATTGAGAGAACCAATAGTGCCCGCACCATCACACTTCATCTTCGTTACAGTGGCAATAAGTCGCATACCACTATCCAAAACAACGGCTAACATTTGTGTTTCTCGGAAACATTGACCATTAAATTGTGTGAGAAAATAAGTGGTAAACTCCATATAATCAAGTGTCCCTCCCTTTGTTTTGGGATTAATATATTCTATATTTACACTCATTGTTGTGATAACTGGGATATGTTGAGGAGGTAATTCTAATTGTACTGTATTCCCTGCCGTTGTGGAGAGTTCCAGTAATCGACGTTGAATACTGTTCATTGCAATTTGTCCTTCCTCAATGCCTGGATTAGGTGAAACAGTGAAAGGGAAACCCTTCACAATAACCATACTCTTATCATTAACGTGCCTTTGGGCATCATGCGGGTTAAGGTAAAGTCGATTAGTGCGAGTGTCTTCATCCGTAAGGACAGAACGTACAAGAAATTGAGCAGGCATGTTTTTTTTTTTTCTTTTCTTTTTTCTTTTTCTGTTGTTGTTACTATAATAATAAAAATAAAAGTATAAAAAAGAATTAAAAAAAAAAAAGATGATGATGTTCAGATACAGTGAGGTACTACCCTTCTTCTCTTTTAATGCTAATAATGTGAACCAGAGAGTAAGAAAGAAAAAGAAAAAAAGAGAGATTGTTTCTCTCTCTTTCTTTCTTTATATAGGTATAGATAGGTGTACATCGCACTATAAAATATATATATATATATATATATATATATATATACAATTATATTTATACCCACGACGGTGGATTATCTATCTTTGCCTGTTCCCACAAACTTAATACTTCATTTAATGATCGTTTTTGCCTATTTACATCCCCCTTCGTAAATAATACTTCATACTGTGTATATGATTCTGGTGTTGGGCAAAGTCGGCGAAAGTGTGTAGAGCGTAGAGACTCTTCCTCTGCTATCATACATGCCTCCAGTTCATTTACGTCTGTTAAGGAATCCAGGAATGAATGACCGTAAGAAACACTAGACGTATCCTTTTCTTTTATTTCTTCTTTTGATACTGGCAGAGAAGTTTTTTCACATTTTTTCTTTCTTGTTATTCCCATTGCCGTTATACCCACAAGTGTTAACATATCGGCGATAAAGTTACCTTTTACACATTGATCCAGTAAGGAGTAGTGTGTACTCAGAGAAGGCATAATGTTTACTTCCATCAATACAGGGAGTGGTGTCTGTTTGAATGGTGCTTGGGGCTCACGTAAGAGTACATCTACACCGTAAACTTCAAAACAGGATGTAGATAGTGTGGATAAAGAAGAAGAAGAAGAAGATAATGATGATAATGATGATGAAGAAAACTTTACATCACTATTAGCATTACTTAAAGTTACCAACTCCTCCACTACATGTGGTTCCACTGCGAGAAGTACTTTAAGAAGTAAATCATAAATCCTTCTCATTGTTCCCTCCCAATCTAATTTATGTGTATGGAAATATTTCTGAAGAGCTGTGAGAGTCCATTTAGAGGCCGATTTCTCCCCTTCTTCCCCTTCCTTTTCATTCTGTGTTTTTTTATCAGGGGGAACATAATCTTCAGATTTTTTATTTATTGTGAAATTTGTGAGATGTGCTGTGAGAGAAGCTTCACTTCCAATATTCATAAAGGATCTCTCATTATTATTATTATTATTATTATTATTATTATTATTATTATTATTATTATTCTCTGTAGTTGGATATGGTGAAGTGGCAAATCGTACGAGTCCCTCATCATATAAATATGCACGTAATGGAGAAAAGGAAGTGACCACAAGATAGAGTCGAAGATCAAATTTATAGCCTTCAATAAGAAGAGGATCTGTGATGTATCTCTGTACAAGAAAACGACCAGGTCGAACAATACTTCTACCCATACTCCAACCCTTTTGATTATTATTATTATTATTATTATTATTATTATTATTATTATTTTCGTGTGTATCAATATTATCGTTTGGATTCACTGTAATATTTAGTGTGGATTGTTCTTTAGCTTCCACTAAATAAATACCACGTCCACAGGCACTTGTGGTTGGTTTAACGATAAATACATGTCCACGCTCATTACGAGATGAGAGGACACGATGAAGTTCCTCTTGTTCCTCTGGCAACACCCAAGCATCAGGGAAAAATTCCCCAAAGTTTACTCTTGACATGCTATTATTATTATTATTATTATTATTCTCCTCATCTTCACTATTTAGATGCTTACTACTCTTATCTACTCTTTTATTCCAATTAGTACGTGCAGCTACAAGATGTTTATGTAATTCATCTTTTTTCCCAATACGCCAAGTACCAGGAAAGTGATTTATATGTTGAAATGACTTCAGTCGTGTAAAGTCACTCCGCACTGGTCGCTTACACCACTTTAACGACCAAGATGTTGAGATGAGACTCGTCTCTTCTGTGAATCCCGCTCGCTCTAATGTACACATCACCGCAGAAAAGCGTACAGCACCCACTGGCATTGTAAAGTGCAATGCGGTATAAATACCCGTACGTGGAACTACACGTCTCCTACCAATCTCTGTATTATTATTATTATTATTATTATTATTTATCTGTGGAAGTGGTGCTGGGACGACGTAGGCGTTTGTATCTTTACTACTACTCTCCCCATCCCACGGGCGATCAAATGGTGTAAACACAATCGTTGAAGGTCTACCGTGAAAAGGACTCACACAAAGTGTCACATATTCATCTGCAGCCGCACTGCGTTTGACTGTGTGTTCTGCAGTAGTGGTATGCCAGAGATGTGTCTTGTCTACATTGGGGATATACTGCACTGTTGGGGAGATGAGATGTGTGGAATAATGGGCAATACGTTTATTACGTTTTACTTGCGCTTCTATAAGAGGATTTATCAACAATTCCTCTTTTTTTTCTTCTTCTTCTTCTTCTTCTTTCATTTAATCAATAGACATTCAAAATCACAGAGAAAAATAAAGTCTTCCCTTTTAGTGTGTATTTAAGTAGAGGGACTCTACAATACCAATACTCCCCCCCCCTTTTTTTTTTTCTTTCTCACACTCTTTTTATCCAGAGATATATAGACAAGGGAGAAGGAAAAAAGTTAATGATTTATATATAAATATATATATGTGCAGAGCAGAATAAAAGAAAAAGAAAGAAAAAAAAAAAAGCGTAAAGAAGAGGTAGAGAGATGGGTTTAACACATGGAGAGAAATGAAATCCAGAAGGAAAAAAATATATATATTATTAATAATAAAAAAAGGGGTATTTTACCGATTCAAAACATATATGAACGGGGGTAAACAGCCTTCCATCATTTTTTTTTTTTCCCTTTTCTCTGTAAAAAAAAAGAAAAAAAAGACAACATACATCTCTTCAACAGAATTAGAGACATCCACATAAATAAATAAATCAATAAATCCAGTAAATACCGTTCGTTTTTATTATTTATTATTTTTTCTTTTTTCTTTTTCTTTTTCTTAATCAGCTATGCATATTATCAGTTGTCCATATCCTCATCATTCTCATCATGGTCTGCATGATTGTAATCGTCTACAATCTGCAGAACGTCCTCCACAACTTCTTTCCATTCATCTGTATCTATATTATACGTCTCTTCATATATATGCCGACGATAACGTAATACTTTCTGCGCTGCCGTTACCAAACCCTGCAGCATAGGCGCAGATCCATATGTAGAAATAACATGAGAGGCCACATCCACACCTTTCAATGCCCCTGAACGCATAATATCCCGTGGAATGACAAAATCCTCTGGGAATGTAGAGGAGATGGGATAATTATTATCCGTAACAAGTGGTAAATAGTTGGATGTGCGCAGTGGAAGTCCATACCGCAAGAGAGCCTCCTGTCGAGGATATGTAAGATCCTTTAATGGACCAGCACCTCGTAAAGTTAATGCATGACCCAAAACACGACCAGCTTCACTATGTGGATCTAAACAAATAGAGTGTGTGAGTGGAGTAAAAGTGCCAAGATGAGATTTATTATTTTCCCAAGATCCTAATAATGGATTACGCTGCATAAAATTCCAAAGATCATTTTTAGGATTACTAGAATCATATACACGTAATGGCATTGCCGTTAGAGCTGCAGCCACACGCATAGATCGTGTAGGTCGAACGGCTGTTTGCCAATCCTGTAAATAATATGCAGGTCCATTTACTTTAGTCTGAGAAGTTCCATTATCTCGAATTCCATACAGAGAAGTATCCGCTAGAGTTGCAATCATTTGTGCAGTGGCTGTATCATTTTGAAGCCATGAAGGGATTTCCATTTGCATCGTTGTTTCTGTTTCTGTTCCCGGCACTGGTTTGGCAAAGAAAGAATCCCATTGGCTTAACTCCAATGGAATGTATACAGCACTATCATGTCGGGTCATATGTGAAGTGGCTAATAATCGATTAAGACACATTTCTTCTCTACGTCGTTTTCCCACATCTACAATATCCATAAGATTATTATTATTATTATTATTATTATTATTCTGCATATCAGGACATGTTAAGATCTCCTCTGGTAATGGTTGAAAACATGTAAAGAAGACAGCTGGCATTTTGCTTCCCACATCTTCCCATAGTTCATTCATTACATTACAGGCAGCTCCACCAAAGGCGGAATCCCCATCTACAAAACACTGCACACCCTGCAGTAAATTGGCATCTTCCAATTGTTGACGAAGACTATCCCCCACACCGGCAATATCATGATTAGTAGTAGAACGCAATTGTGAAAGTCCAAATCCAAAGTTATGTAAAAGTGGCACATCACCAGCAGTAGCGTGCATACCGTGCAGTGGATGAAGTACATGTACACTACGTTCATCCAATCCACTACGAATATACTGCCACCATAGAATAAGTGTATCCCGTTCATTAAATAACATGCGCTTCATTTCTTTCTTTGAGATAAGTTCCCCATTAGGATCTCTATATGTAGTATAGGAATGTAGTTTATCCTCTTCATCCTCTTGTTGTGATTGTTCTTCTACTTCTTCATTTTCTCCTCGAGGAGTGGATGATAGTGAAGATGTACTAGACAATTCCACTTGTGCCATATCATCCTCTAATGTTAATGGACGTTTCTCCTTTCCACGGATGCCTTGTGTTTCCTCCTCCTCCTCATTATCATATCGATTGTTTCTATTCTTATTCAAACGACAAGTGTCTTTTAACCGCGTGGCGTGCGGGGCGTCTAACAGTACAAGTCTCGGCACACTCACTTCGGCGTCTGTGCGTTGTTGAGATGAGGAACCGCCGCGAACTCTCTGAGCTCGGCGTTGTGTATAAAGAGTCGAGTGTGTAGTGTCGAACTGTGAGGTGCCATTGGCCCATTGGGCAGCCACCAGAGAGGCGTAGTTGCCAAAGGCTAATGTGATTAATTCCCGTTCACTCATTAGATTCGGTCTAATTCCCTGTGAATGAAAACGGTGACTATATATATATAAATATATATATATATATATATATATATTTTTTTTTTTATTCGTATTATGATTTTCCTTTTTCTTTCTTTCTTTTTTATTTTGTTTTAATTTTTTACTGTTATGATTTAATATTTGGATTAAATCTCTTTTTATTATTATTATTATTATTATTATTATTATTATTATTATTATTGTTTATTTTTCTTCCTTCTTTTCTACTGTGTGTAAGAGCTATGTGGAGGTAGTATATAATATCCACACAGAAAGAGAGAGAGAGAGAGACTAGTACTACATGGGAAGTTAAAAGAAGAGAAAAGAAAAGAGAATCTGTATTAAGGAGAGGATCCAAATCATACACTCTACATACACATTCTAATAAATAAATAAATAAATAAATGTATATATTTATATATACTTGAAGAAGTGAAGCTGAAAGGTGAAATGAAAAAAAAAAAAAAACGAAAAAAAAAAATGTCGAATCCCCTTTCCATTCTTCCAAAGTAAAGAAAAAAAAAGAAGATAAAAAAACCATGAAAGCATATTGGTTAAGTGGAAGGTTTTCAGCATAAATTCCCTTCACACAATTCCATTCAGTTCTGAAAAAAAAAAAAAAAAAAAAAAC